TCAGTTTTGTACACCCCTAACTGCAACATATAACTTATAGGATATTATAATACGAAAATATAATATTATGGCCACGATTTTTTTTTTAATTTGTGCCATTGACCCTATAGTAATACAGTATAGTAGTATTGTGAAGTGTTGAACTGATTTTGGGTACACTTTATTCAGTTTTGTCTGAACCAGGAGATGAATCATCTGAAAATGTACAAAGACAAGGAGAAGAACAACAAGTGATGCAAAATGAACCAAAAATAGTGAAAAATGAACCAAAAAATGCACAAGTACTATTACAAGGCCCAATAGTGAAAAATGAAGACGAAAAAGCCCAAGAGCAAGAACGAGGGACGTTTGTAAATAGGAAACATATAACAACGTATCGAAAAATAACAATCTCTGCACAACAAGCAAAACGTTCACGCAAACGATCACCTCCTCGTTCTAAGACTGGTTAAATTAAACTAGTACTCCTTGGATATTATATATCACTTATAAAATTTGGAAAAAAAAAACTTCAATTTTTTAAATTATTTTTCGTCATCTTTTTATTTATTTAGTGTTTGTCTTGATTGCTGTATTAAGTATGTACTTCTTTAGAGAGTCTTGTTTAAGGAGAAATTATTCTCTCGATATTTTTTGTACTCTTTTAAAGAGTCATGAGCCGCTCTCTCTATCTTATTATTTTGGTCTAATTATGTTACCTTATGTAATTCTTGATGTTCCTATTCTTAAGAATTAAATATGTTGTTGATTGTAGTACCACAACTAATATTCGTAGTAATTAAGTACATAATATGCATTGAGATTTTATTAGTTTGTTGTTGATATAGATTAGTTTGTTATGTTGCCTAGATGGTTAATTTAATTAGTTTATGCAGTTGTTCTTTTTAATACATAGTATACGATGAAAGTAAATAAATATGCTAAGCAAATGGTTTAAAAGCTAATTAGACTCAAATAATTTTCAATCTGTTGGGTTTAGCAAGGTGTGAATGGGAAATAAAAAGAGAAAATGGAAAGTGGAAGAACCAATGAAAATGGGGGAACCAATTTTGGAGGGAAAATGAAAAGTCATCATTGCAAAAGTGCAAATGAAAGGTCATTTTTACCATATCAGTAGAAGAAAGGAAATTGTTGTCCTTATATTAGGAAACACTTCCTTTAGTTCTTAAAGGGTTAAGAAGAAGGTGCCCCCTCGCGCCGTCGTCGTCGCTCGCTCGGCTTCGGCTTCGGATTCGAAATGTTTTCACTATTGGTCAACTGAAACGAAATCCACGAGTGGATATGTTTTCACTATTGGTGGAAGAGCAATTTCTTGGAAATCATCCAAACAAACATGTATAGCTCGCTCTACAATGGAGTCAGAATTCATCGCTTTAGACAAGGCAGGTGAAGAAGCTGAATGGCTCCGGAATTTCTTAGAAGATATTCCGTTTTGGCCCAAACCAATGGCTCCTATATGCATACACTGCGATAGTCAAGCTGCAATAGGAAGGGCTGGAAGCATTATGTATAACGGGAAGTCTCGTCACATAAGACGAAGACATAACTCTGTTAGACAACTACTCTCTAGTGGAATTATCACAATTGACTATGTAAAGTCAAAGGATAATGTGTCGGATCCACTTACAAAAGGCCTAACTAGAGAGGGAGTTGAGAGATCATCGACGAGAATGGGACTATGGCCGAGAACAAGTCATCGTGGCGGTAACTCTACCTAGAAGACTGGAGATCCCAAGATCTAGGTTCAAGGAGATAAAACAAAGTCATAGATGACGGTTCAACATTGTCAAAACATATTTGATGGTCCATTCTCATGATGAGACAATGTTCAGTAACCAGGATAAAGGCATAAAGACTTTTTAATGGTTTCTAAGTTTGATACAGGGTATATCAAATAGTGCATCTACGGGATAACACAATTAGAAACCACCTATGTAAGTATGAAGTGTAAGCCGCTTCAAGGAGAATCCGATAAGACCAGTTCTCTAAGCACTTATTAACCGAGATGTGTTCATGGCTAAAACGAACAAAACAATGAGAACCAAAAACAGTTCAAGGGTTGATTGTGTGACTTATGTTGTCTAGGTATACACTAAAGCTCGACGGTTCAAAGATATCAAATCTACCGATTGACCGAGTATATCCGATATATGTTCACTACGGAAAGTTTAAAGAGAAACCTACTTATCCAGATGCGATTAGTCCTTACTTACAAGACACACAAGTTTTTCATGCATATGTTTTAACAATTGTCATTCCCCATTCATGTGGGGGATTGTTGGGTTTAGCAAAGTGTGAATGGGAAATAAAAAGAGAAAATGGAAAGTGGAAGAACCAATGAAAATGGGGGAACCAATTTTGGAGGGAAAATGAAAAGTCATCATTGCAAAAGTGCAAATGAAAGGTCATTTTTACCATATCGGTAGAAGAAAGGAAATTGTTGTCCTTATATTAGGAAACACTTCCTTTAGTTCTTAAAGGGTTAAGAAGAAGGTGCCCCCTCGCGCCGTCGTCGTCGCTCGCTCGGCTTTGGATTCGGATTTGGCAAATGATGTGATTGATTGATAATATTTTTGGACAAAATTTATTTAATCAATCTTGTTAAATCATTTCCTTTCTCTTATAAATTAATTCGTTAATTAAATAACATAATTAATTTGGCGCAACTGAATTTATTTGAAATTCACGTGTAACGGTAATCCTTCCAAAAAGTCATTACTTTTCCCAAACGGTATTCCTTCCGAAAAGTCGTAACTTTTCCCAAAGGACACAATGTTCTGGAAAAAACTCGATCAACTGAGTCTGTGTGTGCTCTTATTGCTGTTCTTGCGTTCGCTGAAGTTATTGAAGTTTGAGGTACCGCTACTTCTTTAACAGGTTAATCCGTTTTATCTTGGGAGGAATTAATCTGCAACCTCGGGTACAGTGAGGGGATTAAATTTCTTAAGGAAACACAATGGTTTCTGTGGACTCGAATTAAAAAAAAATCATTCTGTCAATTTCATCTTTTTTCTGTTTCTGTATTTTTGACTAACCTAAATACAGGAGATAACACAATCTAATATAGTCTAAGATTAAGCAGCTAAAAGAGCTCTACACATTTTTACAAAACGTTTACCCTTTAAATGTGAGATTTTTTAATACAAAATTTTAATTTAATTGAGCTTTAATACAAATATTGAATATCAAAAACAAAAAAGGAGCCGCTTAATTAGTTATTCCATCAAGCAAGGGCCCTAGAAATATATTTTTTTCAGTATATTTTCTTAAGGAAGAGGAATCTATTCCTGCTGGAGTGATTTTCTTTAGTTTCTAAAAGATTTTGGCATATTTTTATTTAAATTTCTTGGATTGAAGATAAAAAAAATATTTACAAGATGTCCGTACAAAGATTAAGTAGTAAGTTTTTTTTTGGAAAATATCGCGCAAATGACACAGAAAATATAAATTGCATTAGCCATTACACAAACCGGTGCAATGAATTCAACTAAGAAAGGAACCAAGTAAAGACATCTCGTAGCGCTCCTTTTTGCGATATCACTCTCTTGCATGCATCAAACTCAACCGACTAAGAAAGGACCAGATGAAATTCGATTTTTTATCTCCCTTATGAAATTCCCCGCTACACCCTTTCAAATTGTAGAAATAAATTTTTGATCATGACTAACTCGATAGAAAACTATTATCAAATATTCCAAACGGTACATCACATGATGAGTCATTTTCGTATCATCAATTGATTCTTTCTCAGAAAAAAAGTGGTAATTTTAAAAAATAAAAATTGTCCTTTGCTACCTTCGAAAGGCTAGTAAAAAAATAAATAAAAGAGCTTGGAAATATTTTTCGAGAAGGAAATGACAAATATGCTATATATATATTCTTTTCGAATGAACCAATTAAGCAATCTCAGATGTACTAATATTGAAAACATCCATTTGTTAACAAGTTCACTTTTGGCGTCTCATGACATTATTCCCATGTTCTCCTATAATATGCCTTGTGCAAATTCGAACACAATATTTTGTTTCTATCAAAGGTCTCGATTTTGAGCACTAAATTTTATGAAGTAGTTTGATAAGACACATTTTATTCTTTAAAGTGATTTTTTTAAAATACGTTTAAATTAGTCGGACTTCAAAATGAATTGAGTTAAAAACCAAAAAAAGAAAAGAACACATTCCCCTGCCATTGCATTCAAATGGGAAAATGACAAATTGTCCTATTAATGGCTAGAAGATTTCATTCATATGTCACCTAAAAAGTCAACTTTTAATTTGTAGTAAGAATATTTGCAAAAATCGTTATTTGGATAATCGAAAAGATATTCGAATTGGTTATCTGGAGGCGAAACTACCGTTATAGTTATAAGTTATATATAATTCAATAATTTTAACTTAAATTATATATTATGTTAAACATAAATTACTGGAGTAGTCCAGGACCATTAAAAACTTTTTATTGGAAATCTTTACACAATCGATGAGGAACGAGTAATGTAACAATAATTAAGACATTTTATTCGAGAAACCCTTAGTAAATGGAAAATTATTACATAATTTTGACATCATTATGACCTAGAATCAAGATATACTTGCACAAGGTTTTAGAGCTCAGTATTAATTAGAGTTTGATAATTTTTATGTCTATGCTTGAACAAGAACTACATGCATTTTGATTTGCACATGAATAATCTGTTGTATGGTCTAAAAAAGTACATATGATAGAACCTTGCCCTATCTCAAAATGTTAAAGATGATAGAACATGTAGCCACACAAAGTAGTATAATAAGATATTATTGATACTTTAGATTAAAATCCAATACATAAAGACATGCCACTAGATTGCCAAAAAGAAAAGACTATCCATGACCTACGTATATGACCATAGTGTAACTACTTTTTATTTATACCACAAGAAGAAATATATTAGAGCTAGAAATTAAACAAAAAGACTCTCTATAAGTGGTAACTTTCTATGTTTCATAGCTATAGCCTATAGTCATTATTAATTAATTTCTATACCCAAATTGCATTAGCCCTAATGAGCAATTGTTTAAGCTTGCCCCTCACATTAAGGCTCATTATCTCATTTGCACCACCAACTAACTCTTTCCCTATAAATATTGCTGGTACACTTGGATGACACCCTAATTCAATCAATGCCTTCTCCATTTGCTTCCCATTTGGATGTGTATCGAGCTCGTAAACCGTAGGGTTTGCTCCAAAACTACGAATTAGGGTTTCAATGCTGTGAGAAATGCAACAACTACTCTTGGTGAAAATCACCACCCCGCTTGATGCTCCCAACTTCATCACCATATCCATTTTTTAACTTGAAAAAATAATGAGTATAGTTTGGCCAAATGCCAATAGATTTGTAACTTTTAGTGAAGAGGAATTTAAAGAAGTTATGAAAGCTAGAAGAAATAGTGAAGATTTTTGAAGTGAATTTGAGGCTTGAATTGTTGTTGAGAAAATTGAACCTAACATGAAGCTATATATAGAGGCATTATGTTAGCTAAAAGAGAGAAAAAAGTGAAATTTCAAAGAATTGCAAGTTGATGATGTGATATATCTAGATTGTTCTTGATTTTACACTTGTATGATAATAAGGGCATATTTTGTGCCTTATCTGGATTCTAATATAGCATAACATACTCGAGCTGAAAATGAAAAGAATAAAATCTATCACCTTTAAAATATTCCAAGAACATATATTATATATACATATGTCACTAGCTAAAGTTTATCTTAATAGATCTTTGTTTTTTCTGTTAGTTCCTTTTCATGCTTTTTCTTTTTTGGTTGAAAAAAAACGTCTTCCCGTTTCAACATTTTTAAGTATCCTGATTTTTTGCGGTAGAAAAAGTAAACAATTGATAATTGAGATATATTTCGACAAACATTTAGTGATAATTCAGGAATATATACTTTAGGTGTGTAGTTTAATTTTGACCTTTTCACTCAATCTTTCTCAGAATATATCCTCATATATAGATGTGTTGTTGAAATCAAGTCCACATTATGATCCGTACCACATAGAAACTTTAGTTGATACGTGACAAAATTTGTTAAAATTACAATCTCTTCTCATCCAAAAAAAAACAAAGCTCCCTTACTACCTCGAAAGGTCAAATATTATTGAAGTAGTCTATTTTCTCTGGTTAAGGAATTAACAATTTGAAACGTGACTGACAATTTTTTAGGTAAACAAGATATATAGAGTATTATAACTTAATATTCATCAACATAGGTAAGTGGCAGAGCGTTGCTCCTGATAGTAATGCTTGGGGAGGGGGTCTTAATAGTAGTAGATTGCCTTTTAAGCTAACAAAAAGAGTTTCTACTTTATTTGCTTCTTTTATCGAATACAAACAATGAAGAAAATGTCCAAAACATAAAAGAGTTGGCTTTTGTCAACCTAAACTTCTTCTTAGTCAAGATATCTGCCACTTGATTTTCGTTTATACCGTGGGTTCCCCAATTAGAGGTGTAGGTCCCTACAATAAGACAAAATATTAATAATTAGAATAAGTTGGATGGTCTTTACCTATATAGTAAATGATTTCTTTGCGATCTATATTAATTTCAAGGGATGTTTGATTATTTGCGAGTGCAATCCTTTATCCTCTTTGCAGCCCATATAGTTCTGATATAATATTTGTTGCTTCAAAAATGTTGCCTAATTCAGGGGCGGAGCTAACTTGGGGTTATATTAAGAGGTTCATTCGAATCCATTTTACTAGAAAATTATTTTATTTATATATGGTTAATTTTTTTTATGTATATGTAATAGCTGTTGAATTTACTTCCGTTAGTTCATGTTTTTATTTCTTCATATTTTGAACGATTGAAAATCCTGATTCCATCACTGAATTCCACAATCCAATTTCCGTATTTATCTCTTATCACTCATCCTATTCCATTTTTGCCGGAATTACCCCTATTCCACCAAGGCTATCATTACTAACTCCGTCCCAAAATATGTTTCATTTTTTGCATCTTACAATTCAAATTATTTGAACTTTGACCATTATTTTAAGATGTCTATTTTCACCATATATATTATTATGGGAAAAATTACAACTTATGGTACTTTTTGTGTAGTTTTTAAATATTTTAATTTTAATTTTTTTTAATCGTTAAATTAACATAATATAATTTAGCTCTGAAGATTAATCAAATTAACTTTTGAGAAAATGAAATGTGGACCAAAAAAAACTTTTTAACTTGGTCGGTCTAGATCATATCCAATTTGGCCCAGCCCATTACAGGCCAACCCAACACGGTTAAATAAATGGGCCAAGGAAAGATTGAGCTTGTAGACCGGTTCAGAGTGGGTTAAAATTTTTTTGGAAAAATTACCTAAATACACATCTTATTTTACCATAATCTCTAAAATTCTTTACCATCTAAATTTTTTTCAAAAATCCCCTCTCAGATACATCACTCTTCTCTCGCTGATACATTCCTAACCCCTCGGATACTTCCCTCACATATGTATTTGGATGTTTGTTGATGTATCCGGAAGTCCAGTGATGTATCTTGATGTCCTATCCCCTCTCTTATACATCCCTCACCTATGGATCTGGATGTCTTCTAACGTATCCGGAAGTTCGGTGATGTATCCGGAAGTTCGGTGATGTACCCGAAATCCATAAATCTTAAGGAATTTTTGTAATTTGGAAACGAGTAGGAAAATAATGCAATTAGCTCTTAACACTATGAAATTTAGTTTACATACACATTTAGATGAATGACAAATTTAGTACTCTTAAAGGTCAAAATCTCAAAATTAAATTAATTTGGAAAGCGCTCTTTAATTTTAAGATGTAAATATCAATCTCCCCACATATTTTGATACTTATTAATTTCATTAGTAAAAATTGATGGACCTTGCTAAATTTCGAAATATATAAATAACAAGTAGTGAAACAACTTAAGGTATGGCATGTATCCATACACAAATGTTAAAATGATAGAACATGTAGCCACACAGAGTAATACTATAGCTATAAGATATGATTGTTACTACTTTAGATCAAAATTCAATACGTAAAGAAGCTCATTGTTATTGATTTCATGTGTGAATAAAGCAAAATTGCCACTAGATTACCAAAAGAAAAGACTATACATGACCTAAGTATATAAATTTTATTTATACATCAAGAAGCAAAATGTAAGAGAAAACAGAATGACTCTCTATAATAAGGTGGTAAATTTATTATCAAAACTCTAATTATTAGACTAATTGCTATATACATAGCTAGTCATTATTAATTAATTAATTCCCTATACCCAAATGGCATTAGCCCTAATGAGCAATTGTTTAAGCTTTCCCCTCACATTAAGGCTCATTATCTCATTAGCACCACCAACTAACTCTTTCCCTATAAATATTGCTGGCACACTTGGATGACACCCTAGTTCCATCAATGCCTTCTCCATTTGCTTCCCATTTGGATGTGTATCGAGCTCGTAAATTGTAGGGTTTGCTCCAAAACTACGGATCAGTGTTTCAATGCTGTGAGAAATGCAACAACTACTCTTGGTGAAAATCACCACCGAGCTTGATGTTCCCAACTTCATCACCATATCCATGTTTAAATAACTTCAAGAATTAGTGAGTATAGTTTGGCCAAATGCCAAGGTATGTATATAGCTTTTAGTGAAGAGGAAAGAAATTGTGAAGCTTAAGGCTACAAGAATTTTTGAAATGAATTTGAGGTTTGATTTGTTGTTGAGAAAATTGGACCTTCCATGAAGCTATATATAGAGATATTATGTTTGCTAAAAGAGAAAAAAATTTGAAAATTGGTAGAAGAATTACAAGTTGATGGATATATCTAGATTGTTCTTGATCACTTGTATGATAAAGGGCATGCATGAAAAATGAATAGAATATAATCATCACCTTTAAAATATTCCCATAACATTGTTCCCTTTGGATTGTCACTAGATTTATTGTTTTTTTCTTTCTCATTTTTTAATCTTTTTTGTTTAAAAACAAAAATTCGGTGTAGAGGAAGAGTATTACAAAGTGAGAAATCAAACCTTCACCAATAAAGTGAAAGTTTAGATAATTAACCAACTGAGCTACTTCAATAATCATAAATATTGCATTTAATATAAGTTAAGTTCCTATAAGAACAAAATGTATATATTTTGTAAATTGTTGAAAACAATGTAGTATTCTGCTAAAGGAAAAATAAATCTATATGTCCAGCTGGTGTAATCTTTTTCAATAGAATATTACTTTTAATTTGAGAAAAAAAATGAAATCTTTTAAGAATATATATCCTCATATAGACGTGTTGTTGAAATAAAGTCCACACTAATTATACGATCTATACCATAGGCAAATTTTGATTAAAATTCCCTTTGGTATAAAGTAGATATATCAAGAAAGGGAATGTAGTACAATTAGTACTGATCCAGAAAAATGCTTGATCCCTTACAATTTCGAAAGGCCACAAATTATCATAGTACTGTATTTTTCCCAGGTAAAGGTATCGAAATGTAATGATTAGTCGATTAATATAGGTATAATACATAAATATTTCGTTTAATTTGGCATCATCTAGCATTTATTGGGTGTGAATAAGTAGACACTTAAACTTGTATAAAGTTGAACAAGTCGACACACGCGTCCTATGTGGCATACACGTAAGACGCCACATAAGATGTTGCATAGAACGTGAATTGTCACGTAGGACGTGTGTATCTACTTGTTCCATTCTATACAAGTTAAAGTGCCTACTTGTGCATCCAAAATTGGAAGGCATAGATGCCAGATAAAATCAAATTAAAGGTCATGTTTATGGAGTAATACAATGTAATCTTGGAATGTGATTCAAAGATATTTTTTGAGATGATCAAAGCTAATTACAATAACTCTTGGCAAATGAAGAAGATCATTACTCATATTCAAAATATTTCAAGTACTATTACTTACGAGGTACAACATTGTTACAGGGAAGTCAATCAAGTTGCAAATGTCTTGACAAAATGGGGTATTACAAATGAGGAGTTTTTTGTGCATGCTCACCTATCATTGATACCCATTGGACCTTACCAACTTGATCTCATACAAATGAGTCCCTACAACATAAGCAGAGGAAAAAAATATTTGTATAAAACTGATTCAGTTGAGCTGTTATAGCTAATTTTGTCTATCACGTTGGATTTGTAAATTTGTGCAAAACTTGTATAATTATTGCCAGAATCTTAGTTTTTGTGAAGCAGCTTTTGGCTGCGATGTGGAACATTGGGTCGAGCTTAAGCTCCCCTAGCTTTGTAATTTATTCATCAATATATATAAAGGTCTTACTACCATATGGTGATAAATTATTATTTTTTTAGAAAAAAATCATATTTATGTAATATGCCATGTTAAATATTAAAATCATCGTTATAACTAAACCTGTCAATTAGGTCGGTCGGTCAAGGTCATATCCAATTCGACCCAACCCAGTAATGATAATGACATAAGTTGAACTTAAATTTAAGTACGGACGATTATGATTTTATGATACATGCATGCTTGACAAGGACGACTATTTATTGCATTGTTATTATTATTAATAATAATAATGTCGATTTTTAGCGTACCACACATTCTCATGTACTATATATTATATGCCTAGAGCAAATTGGAACACATTCCCCTGCATTGAAAAAAAATGGATAAATGACAAATCTTCTTATTGATGGCTAGAAGATTTCATTCATATGTCACCTCAAAAATCAAAACTTTTAATATGTGTCTAAATAAGAATATTTGCAATATGATTTCCTGTTAGAACAAGTTGTTGAATTGTTTAGATAAAAGAAAGACATTCGAATGGGTCATTAAAAGTTTCTAGAAAACTTAGAACAAATATATTTTGATCCTTAAATAAAATCTACCAACATTTTTTTTGTTTGTAATGAAGCCGCCTTGGGGTGGTGGGAGGCTAGGTATGGACCCTTACTTTGTAAGAGGGGAACATAAAATCTAACCTCCGCAAAATATAGGTGAAAATCAAATCTTTTCAATTTTCAGAAAGAACATATTTAGCGGATGGAAATGACATTTTCAGGAATATAGTTAAAGGTGAAGGCGTAAAAGAATTTAACTCAAATGAAGAATCTTTTGAGGAGTGACTCCATGTAAAAAAACCTAAAAAAATTTAATTCGAGTAGAGTCCTTTGCTAGCATATTCATTCTTTATTATTATTATTATTATTATATTACGTATGACGTTTCAAAGTTGATGTAGAGGAAGAGTATTACAAAGTGGGAAATCAAACCTTCACCAATAAAGTGAAAGTTTAGATAATTAACCAACTAAGCTACTTCAATAATTATAAATGTTGCATTTAAGTTAAGTATAAGAACAAAATGATCCAACAAAATGTATATATTTTGTAAATTGTTGAAAACAATGTAGTATTCTGCTAAAGGAAAAATAAATCTATATGTCCAGCTGGTGTAATCTTTTTCAATAGAATATTACTTTTAATTTGAGAAAAAAAATGAAATCTTTTAAGAATATATATCCTCATATAGACGTGTTGTTGAAATAAAGTCCACACTAATTATACGATCTATACCATAGGCAAATTTTGATTAAAATTCCCTTTGGTATAAAGTAGATATATCAAGAAAGGGAATGTAGTACAATTAGTACTGATCCAGAAAAATGCTTGATCCCTTACAATTTCGAAAGGCCACAAATTATCATAGTACTGTATTTTTCCCAGGTAAAGGTATCGAAATGTAATGATTAGTCGATTAATATAGGTATAATACATAAATATTTCGTTTAATTTGGCATCATCTAGCATTTATTGGGTGTGAATAAGTAGACACTTAAACTTGTATAAAGTTGAACAAGTCGACACACGCGTCCTATGTGGCATGGTACACGTAAGACGCCACATAAGATGTTGCATAGAACGTGAATTGCCACGTAGGACGTGTGTGTATCTACATGTTCAATTCTATACAAGTTAAAATACCTACTTGTGCATCCAAAATTGGAGGGCATATATATCAGATAAAACCAAATTAAAGGTCATAAAGTATTACAATGTAATCTTGGAATGTGATTCAAAGATAATTTTTGAGATGACCAAAGGTAATTACATATCCCTTGGCAAATGAAGAATATCATTACTCGTATTCAAAATATTTCAAATACTATTACTTGCGAGGTTCGACATTGTTACAGGGAAGTCCATGAAGTTGCAGATGTCTTGGCAAAATGGAGTATTACAAATGAGGAGTTGGTTATTTTTGCACATGCTCACCTATCATCGGTAGCCATCGGACCTTACCAACTTGATCTCATCCAAATGAGTCCCTAAGGCATAAGCAGAGGAAAAAAAATATTTGTATAAAACTAATTCAGTTGAGATGTTATAGCTAATTTTCTTCTATCGCGTTGGACTTGTAAATTTGTGCAAAACATGTATAATTTTTGCCAGAATCTTAGTTTTTGTGAAGCAGCTTTTGGCTGCGATGTGAAACATTGGGTCGAGCTTAAGCTCCCCTTAGCTTTGTAATTTTATTCATCAATATATATAAAGGTCTTACCACCATATGGTGATAAATTATTACTTTTTAGAAAAAAAATGTTATTTATGTATTATGCCATGTTAATATTAAAATTATCGTTATAACTAAACCTATCAACTAGGTCGGTCAGTCAAGGTCATATCCAATTCGACCCAACCCATTAATGGTAATGATAATTACATAAGTTGAACTTAAATTTAATTTAGGACGATTATGATTTTATGATACATGCATGCTTGGCAAGGACGATTATTTATTGCATTATCATCATCATCATCATCATTATTATTATTATTATTATTATTATTATTATTATTGGTTTAACAATGTCGATTTCTAGTGTACCACACATTCTCATGCACTATATATTATATGCCTAGAGCAAATTGGAACACATTCCCCTGCCATTGAAAAAAAAATGGATAAATGACGAATCTTCTTATTGATGGCTAGAAGATTTCATTCATATATGTCACCTCAACAATCAAAACTTTTAATATGTATCTACATAAGAATATTTGCAATATGATTTCCTTTTAGAACAAGTTGTTGAATTGTTTAGATAAAAGAAAGACATTCGAATGGGTCATTAAAAGTTTCAAGATAATTCAGAACAAATATATTTTGATCATTAAATAAAATATACCAACATTTTTTGTTTGTAATGAAGCCGCCTTGGGGTGGTGGGGTGGTGGGATGTTAGGAATGGACCCTTACTTTGTAAGAGGGAAACATAAAATCTAACCTCCGCAAATTAGAGGTGAAAATTAATTTTTTTTAATTTTCAGAAAGAACATGTTTAGTGGATGAAAATAACATTTTCAGGGATATAGTTAAAGGTGAAGGAGTAAAAGAATTTAATTCAAATGAAGAATCTTTCGAGGAGTGACTCCACGTAAAAAAAAACCTTAAAAATGTATTTCGAGTAGAGTCCTTTGCTAGCATATTCATTATTTATATTATTATATTATGTATGATGTTTCAAAGTTGATGTTCCAGCTAATGAGCTAGAATCAAGATATTCCAACAAAAGTGATATCTTTCACTGGGAAATTATGGGTATTATTTACTAGGACATTACGAATGAACCCATAAAATTTGAGCTCAAACAGAGTCGATATTTC